CATTTCTCCAACCACATTTGGCCTTTAATCAATTTCTAGCAAGGTGTCACATGCTTTGTCTCAGTGATGATCAGGCGTCACGGCGAATCCTGGTCTCATTTGGCTCAATGACAGCACGCATCTCCAACACGGCTGAATCTCTCTCCCACACTTCAGCCACAGAGCCACTCAGATTTTTTATTCAGACAGGAGTCTGCTGGAGAAGAGGAGCAGGATTTAATGAAGTCTCAGGGTGTCCCTGAACTTTCTTCTTTCGTCCCTCTCCGAGTTCAGACGAAAATATTTAAAGTCTCTGAGGGAACCTTTGCTAACCTGAGCTTGACTTAAATTTCCTGGTTACCTTTAAGCCTGCCCCTCAGGTTCAGCCCAGAAAGATGAATTCTTTGTCCTTGTACATTCTGGCTCTGCCCTTAGTCCAATCCTACATATAAATGTACCCTTCTTTTTTTGACAGTCTTTATAATTTAGAGGACTATCACAGCATGTCAAGTAAAAATGCTCCGATTTCTTTCGATCAGTTTGTTTTGGGACTTAATATGTCAGATTATGCCTTTGCTGAAACAGTTTTTGTGTAAATCCCCGGACAACAAGGTTCTTTAGACCAGGACAAAAAAATAGTTGTTTAAAAATGTTTTAAAAAGAAAAAAGTCCTTTTCTCTTCTGAAACCTCACCCGTGTGCCTTCTAAATCAGAAACTCACAGTCTCACCAACTGTGGCTGAATAGTCAGCGCTGATATCTACCTTGAGTTCGAACGGAGATTTTAAGAGGATCTAATGCTGCCTTCAACATCTTTTAAAGGACAGCCAAGGTGTTTTTACAGCAATGCAAAAAATCCTATTAGAGATGTTAGAAAAGCTGTAAAAGAGGAGGGGTACAGACAGCAGATTGACCTCCGAAGTCCTGATTTCTGCCAAAACACAACAAACTATTTTGAAAATAAAAAAGAAAGAAATGCCTCAGTTGATTTTTCATGGTAGATTTACAGCTCAAAATATATTTATGAACATAAAGACCTTTTTTTTTTTTAGCAAACAGTTAGAATCTAATGAAATTTAGTCTTCTTTAAACTTTGTCATGATATCATTGTTCATATCAGTATATCTCCATCCTTCAAAAAAGAAGAAGATAAAAGAAAAACCTCTGAATGAATCTTTAACAGGTTGATTACCGACGTCTT